CTTTGTGGTTCTTGACACGTAAGGGTGTGATGCATTGATAATCCTAGGCCAACCTTTCTTAGCTATGGCAAGGACCATTATCGATGTGAGTGGGAGCAAGATCACCTACAGGTTTGGAGAGGAGGAGATAAGCTACAAGATGACTCCAATCCCTAATTTTCAGAAGTATTACAAATGGGAAGATGTAAAGATGGATTGTGAGTCGGTCACACCTCCTACCACACGGTCTTCAAGCCCCGATATATAATGGTTCAATATGGTCACTCATGTTGACCCTCATGATGGAAGAGTTGAAGGTATGAGTGACTCTTATGAGATTATGAACAGACCGGGTAAAGAAAAGTTCCCTTTAAAAAAGGATAATCACGATTTGTTCAAGGTTCTCATCAAGCCAATGATCATAGAAGGAAACTTAGAAGATTCATCTTTGAAGAGAGATACCCCAAGGAAAGCGTTCGAAATGTTCTGAGAAAACTAGCTCCGATTTTTTAAGATGAAGAATCCGGGGAATGCTATAAGCCATTCACAGATTAGGACATTTACACAAGAGAGTTTAGTTCCTTCAATCATGAGCAGCAATCTCCGGATATGTCTTTCAAATCTCAAGCACTGGATGAGGCATCTGAGAGACTCCGTGGCATTCACTTGAGACCTCGCCACTAGTATAATTTATACAAAGAATCATCGGTGGAGAATGGAGCTCTTACCTTTTGATTTCAAGGAGTCAAGTCAGACAAAAAGACTTTAAAAGACGTGCTAGTTGGGAGGCAACCCAACGACTGGGTTCGCATATCTTTTCCTTTCTCTTTTTGAATAATTGCTTTAGTAGAGGATTAGAATTGCGTAGATGATGATTGATAGGACTTTACCCTCGCCTCGCCTTGTCTTTGGATGTTTTATCGATTTAGATGAATGATTAAACTTAAGAAGTAGGTGAAAACATGGTGTTTGTGTTTAGGGCAAAGATCGTGGTTGTCACGTCAGAGATTGCGGTCACGATCTCGGGACAATAGCCGCGATCTTGCCCGTGCTTATTTAAGGGAAAGATCCACATTGTATCCATGTGTAGTCTCTTCATATAATCTTTTAGATCTAAGTACCATTTTCTTCAACCCTCTTAGCTTGTTGAGCTTTCCTTCTCTACTCCAATCTCCAACATCTTTTGAGAAGAATTTTTAATTTTTTATTGGATTTCCAACATGTCGCCTAGAAACATAAGGTACACTCTTTCATTTCTCCATATTTTAACTACCTTGTTTTGCTCAACATGTGTTGAATTCTTTGAGAACTTGAAACACTCATCTGCATATCGACAAGGCTTTTTGATGCCATAGATTGTTTTCTTTGCATTAGTGATCTTGCGTTGCATTTTGGGATACCTTGGTGGGATAATTTCATGTAGTTCTTGAGTCTTCAAAGACCGCCCACCAAGTGTTCATAGGAATTCCCCAACTATATAGTCTTTATTTTCTTCAATCCTACTCATTGAGCATCAACTTCCATTCAATTGTTAACTCTTGTTTACTTGATTTTATGTTGGTTGAGGAGATCCTAGCATTATTCCTCATCATTGAACTCCATCTCCATCTAAGCCCTCTCTTTTGCCCAAGCCTTAGTCTCACTCAAGTGTGTGTGTGTAGGGGGGGGGGGGACTTAGAGAGTTGATGAGAGTTCTTTTAATACTCTTTTTATGGTATGTAATGTTTGGATTGATGGTTTGTGCATTTTGTAATACTTGTTTTGAAGGATAATTTACAAGACTAAGGGAATGACCCGTGAAGAGAGTTCTTCTAATATGGGGCGTTCTCAAACTTCTCATCCTTGCTTAGGTCATCGGAAGAAGAAAAGTAAATCCGGGTCAAAGGAAGTAGTTGTTGAATAACCACATCCACCATCATTCCCTCCCCATCTACCAAGGGAAATCCATCAAGATAAAGAAGCCAATGTTGGATGCAGCATAGAGCATATCACTCACTATTATTTGGACAATGTCCCCAAGCAATTTAAGACCGAACTTTTGTGGCTTCAAGGACTTCCTCTAGGTGATAGTACATGTCTCAACTGGATACTCTTCGCACAGCTTGGGATCGAGGATGCGATCCGATCCAATATCCACTTAATAAAACATCTACCGGGTACTTGTTCTGGTTTCATTAGCACTCTTACCATTCAAGATATGAGAGGTGTCGCCGACCTTGAAGACATTCCAACTATGAGGAGAACATCACCAACTGGCATTCCGGTAATGTTTAATTATCACTTTATTTTTTTTACTTTTCTTACTTAAAATATTCGAGTACTAGTAGTAATCATACTTATATTATCTATTTATCCTAACTATAACTCTTAATCGTCTTTCCCTCTTTCTTATGCGCTTTATCGTTGTGAAGACCACCAGGGATACAAAGACCAACTTGTGTACCTTCACCAACCCACAACCCAACCTCTGGTAACCTTTATGATCTTCTCTTTTAAATCTCCCACTTTGAGGACAATGTGTTGCTCAAGTGTGTGTGTGTGTGTGTGTGCGGTGGGGGGGGGGGGGGGTGAATGCTTGAATGATTATCATGATCGATTGAGCCATGAATTGCTAGTATCCTCCCTTATTTATGAATGTAAGATGTTGATGAATGCTTATGAGAGTGTATGCTAGTGATTGTGTGTATGTTTGTGGTGTTGAGTGGTCTGATGATAGTGTTTTGTAACCTTGATCACATTACCAAAAAAAATTCAAATTTGAGGGTTCCAAAGCACCTTGTTTCTTGCAACCCCCTACTCAATATGCTTGGAATTGATAGATGATTGATGTGTTGTGCTCGTTAGGGAGTAGTTGCATGATTAGAGTACCAACGTATGTGGGATTTTACTCTCTTCTTCCTCTTTGGTGAGTTGGTAATGTTTGCTAATTTAGGAAGAATATGTGTGCGGGATTCTTCATTATTTTTGAACTCGAAACTTTTACAAATTTGTGCTTATTGAAAAAAATAAACTTTAAAAAAATAGGTTCTCACGTGAGAGGAAACCAATCCTCACGGCTTGGAGTGTCCTTTGAGGATATGTTTAGGGATCGAATAGATTTACCGCTCCCAACCACATTTCACTACTCACCACCCCCCAAACATCTTTCCTCCTCAAAGAATCGTATGACAAGGGACCAAGAACCTTTTAGCGATTCAAGAGACCTCAAGCTCTCATTCGTACCCAACATGTGTGGCAATCAAATGGGGAGTGCAGGCTGGGAAGTGGTGCTCGGGCTAAGACGAATCCGCCCATCAACTTCCCCACATGTGACCTTGAAAGGGAAGGAAATGATCTATTCTCTCTTGGTAATGAGGGAGATATGCTTATTTGATAAACAGTTTGCAAAAGTTTGATGCAATGCGCGTCAACATTGAAAAGTAGACCAATAAACGATAACTCTTAAATCGAAAAAAGAACAAAGAGCACCTTCCAGAGTTTTTGTGCTTAATTGCTGATTGAGAAGGCCTCCGGTAGGGCGGTACACACTGTGAATGTTCGTTCTAAGGTAGTAAGTATGGTCCTCTCCCAAGAGTTTGTGCGTGCACAGTAAGATCATAGTAATATTCATTCATCTCTGTTTACTCTTCTTTATGCAAAGAAGATTTAGAGTGCATCCCACGTTGATTTATCTATCCAGTTGCATTGGTTTGAGTCGGTTCGCTTGGGGACAAGTAAACACCTAATTGTGGGGGAGTTTGATAACACCCAAATTGGTGTTATTTACCCTTCATATTTAGGTTTGTTTCGTGCTAATTCATGTGCACAATCATTAGAATAGCGTCAATTGCACCCCTATTCCATTACTATTTGATTATGATGTGATTTTAGGGTGATTTAGACAATGCATTCGAATTAGGTACGAAAAGGGGCACAAGTGTAGCTGATAATGTAACATCCCGATCCAACTAAACCCATATTTTGGTCTCTAGAAATTACGCGATTAAAATCGAGTGTTTTGATAGTACTCGACGAAGATCGAAATATTGATCAATAGAATATATATATTGATTATTTTATACATTCAATATAAAAGCCAGAAACGCCTCTGTACTGTATACGTAGAGATCTTTACACTGCTCATTTAGACTCAAATTTCTTGTTCACACCCCTCTAATTGGTTGTTGAGCTGAGGTGGGCCCTTTGTGTCTTTGGGAGATTGGTAGGTGATCTTCGACGTGCAGGTAGAGCTCTGGTTTGATTCCGATTGCTAGTCCATTTAGATTGTGTTTGGTTGCTCTGTTTTAGTTTCTTTTGGGTTGCTGCAGATTGGAGCTCGCTTTCTGTCGCGTTGGTAACAGGAAGGCTTTCCAGCATCTGTGATTTTTGGGTGATTTGATGGCGGGTCAGAGACTTTGCTTTGAGGGGCTGGGAGGTTGCTTCCATTTTTTATTGACGACAACGATGATTGACGGGGTGGCAGTGAGATTGCTTTTTTGAGTTTTTCCCTTCTAGTTTAAGGGTGAATTTTTCCAGTGCCCCTTATAAATCCGAAAAACTCTGTTCAGAGGGTTCATCCTTGGTTGGCGGCTACCACGTCGCCAACTATCCGTCCCAGACTCCCATATCTTCTCCACTGACTCACCATAGAAGTGGAAAAGCCTAGGAGTCCTTGCATATATCTTCCTCTCCCTACCTCTCTCCTCTCATCTCCACCATGGCGAGGAACAACCCACAAACTCTCGCTCTCTCTTATACGTTTTCTGCGTTGGAGTAAGAAGCAATCAAGAGATGGACATGAAGGGGTCCGGAGAGAAATCGGAAAGCTCCATATGCTTTCCAGATCGACCATACTAAGTGTCGTCTGCCCTTCTAATCCTCAATCCAATAGTTCAAGATGTGCAGGGGCAAATAAGAGAGCTCCCACACTTGATTGTGCTCCCCCTAATTCGCTGACGCCAGCCTTTTTTTGAAAAAGAAAGAAATCGGTGGGGAGAGAAATTAGTCACCCTCCCCGCCGAACCTTTCGTCTCCCTGCTTGTTTGTTCCGCTACCAGAATCCCTATTCCTCCATCTTCTCCAAACCCCACAAAACTCCCCTTCTACAGTCCCCGATAGTTTTGGCGGCGAGTCTTGGTAGTTTCGCGCCCGGGGAATACTTTGTTGGTCGGGGCAAAGGTAAGGTAATTCCTGTACGATCAAAAGCTTTTTGCTTGGTTATTTGTGGTCGGTCTCCATTGATCCTTGGTTTCCCTAACTGATTCGTCGGTGTTGTCTCTCCTTCCCACTTTGCCTTTTGTTTTGAAATTCTGTTTTGCTAACCTCGTTTTGATGTCATTCTTTTTAATGACGTAGGCGAACCTCCTTCTGCCGTGCTGCCTTTCTTCCTTCGTAAATGCAATAAGCGGTGAGCTTTCTTTCCCCTTCTGGTTTTGTTTTCCGGATTCAACGTTGGAGTAAGCCACATGCAGGCCTGTCTTTGTTGTTTGTTGTTTTTGTTTGTTGTTGGTATAATCCACTTATAGTATTAAGAATAGTACCAATGCAGAGTTAGTTGTGGTACTGGTACCACTTTGATTCGTTTTGGTCTGATTTTCGAGTACTTTTTTTGTACCAGTACCACTAATTGTCCCAATATGTAGAAGTAGTACTGGTGTTTTGTTTGTTGTTTGTATAATCTATCGGTACTATCAAGATTAGTACTTATGCTAGAGGTAGTTGTGGTATTGGTACCAGTTAGATTCGTTTGTGGTATGATTTTGTGGTACTCTTCTTCTGGTACCAGTACCACTGATTTGGTACCACTAATTGTCCCAATATGTAGAAGTGATACTGGGGTTTTCTTTTGGTACTTTTCTATTGGTACCACTAATTGTCCCAATATGTAGAAGTGGCACTGGTTTTTCTTTTGGTACTTTTCTATTGGTAGTGTTTTTTTCTATTGGTACCACTAATTGTCCCAATATGTAGAAGTAGTACTGGTGTTTTCTTTTGGTATGATTTTCTGGTACTTTTCTATTGGACCAGTAGTGGTAGTATTGTACCAGTAGCTTTGTACATTGCTAGTAGTACTTCTAGTTATACCATTCTACTTGTGTTGTTGCAGCAATGGCTAGAATAAAGATCCCAGCTATGGCATCCCTTGTAACACAACAATCTGATGCAGGAATGGCCAAAACAAAGATACCAGCTACAACATCTGCAAAAAACAAACAACATGTTGGTTATGTTTCTCGGCAGGTAGTAGTCCTCTTGGGGGACTCCAGTGATTATAATGCTGGGCCTAGTAGGAAAGGACTACGCGATGAGGTAGCCAAGAGTTCCAGGAAGGAGAAGAAGCAACAGACTGTTCCAGGAAGGAGAAGCAACGGACTGTGTGAGGACAACCTTCACTGTTAACCGGAATAGGAGCTATAGCAATTGAAATCGGCATGTCCTGTTGGTGTGGTTCCTTGATAGGACGGTAGCCAACTTGCAACTAACCGTAGACAACTTGCAGCTTGCATCATGTCTGCTCAAATGGTCCAGAAAGCTATGAGTAATGTGACACTTGAGGAAATGACTGGTAAAGCTACTGATTTGCACGAGGTACTATTACGTGGATATACCCAGGTGTCACAACAGTAGTAGGAAGATTGGTTCATGTACGTTTGTAATTATGAACAAGTTTGTTGTGGTGTTTGTTTGCTTTAATTTGGTCTTGGACAAAGTATTGTTCCTTACATTGGCACAATAGTTTTTTTGTTGGATTGTGAGAATTAAGTACCTTATTACTAGTTATTTTAACTACAAATTTGGGACTTGTGATTCTAGATATAACCCTTCATTGTACCAGTTAACTATTACTGGTACCAGTTTACGTATACCAGTACCAAATCAATTGGTTCCTTACATTGGTACCAGTTTACCGGTTCCAGTACCAAATCAATGTAACTGGTACCAGTTAACTATTACTGGTACCAACGCAAGGTTACTGGTACCATTGTTGGACAAACACATCTGTAAAACAAACTTATTTGAGGATGTGAAAAATAAAACAAAACTCATCCGTAAAACGAACTTCTCTTAGGAACAGCTCTGCTCAAAAAGGTCCAGAAAGCCATTGAAGACCCAAGTAATTTGCAACTTGAGGAACACGCTGTAAAGCTACTGATATGCACGAGGCACTACTACATGTATATAACAAGGTGTCACAACAGTTGTGGGAAGCTTGTTTCATGTACGTTTGCAATTATGGACAAGTTGTTTTTGTTTGTTTTAATTTGTTCTTGGACATATTACTGTTCCTTACATTGGCACAATTGTTTTTTGTTTTTTTGGAACTTGTGGTTTTGGAGATAACCCTTCACTGGTACGCGTTTCCCTATAACTAGTACTAGTTACCCATTACTAGTACAAAATCAATGTTACTGGTACAACTTCATTGATGTACTAGTACCACTGCCGGATGTTTCCCAACTACTTAACATGTTTCTCTAATGGTGCATAACACATTGTGAAAATAAAATAAAAAAAACTCATCCTTAGACATCAAATGTTTTGGTCAGAAGCAAATTATCTGTCTCTTCGGATAGGTTGCCACGTTCTGTAAAACAAGTGAAATGAAACATTGATTCGGGCTCAAATGTACACATTTTACCCCTCATTTCTTATTCGTTTAGCTTAGTATTTCATCGTTCCTCGACATATTTCACGTTAGGTTGTGCTTGTTTTGATACATTTCAGGTCCTAGCACGTGTGGAAGGGTCGAGGACGAGTTTTGGGATAATTAGAGGTCAAAAAGCGCAAAAACTGAAGAAAAGTCCGAAGTCACTATTTGGACGCAATTGTCCAGGAAACAGCCGCAGTTCATGGCCGGACAAGGCAGTTCATGGTCTTCTAAGACCATGGATAGGAGGCATGGGCCATGAACATCAAGGCGTCTAGGGCCAAATCCAAAGTTACTGACGCTAGGCAAGTTTACGGTCTCTAAGATCGTGAAATGTGGCCATTGACCGTGAACCTAGGAGAGTGAAGTGGTGTGTTTTGAACGACACTGAGTTCACGGACGCGTTTAGGTGTTCACGGCCATGAACTGACCAACGCGTCCGTGAACTAATCACTTTCGAGAAAATATGAAGACAGCAGCGGGGAGAGAGAAATGAGAGCTGGTTTTTGGAGAAGAATTGGTTTCTTTCTCTAGGGTTTGCCCAAAAACGCCAAAGGGGAGTTTTAGTGAGAGAGAGAGAGTTCTAGAGTGATCTTGGAGCATCATTGGAGGCTTGGGTGGACATTCAAGCCTAGAAGAAGAAGAAGATCTTGAGCTCAAATTTGTAATCCCTCTCTCTCTCTCTCTCTCTCTCTCTTTTCTCTTGGGTCTTGTAGATCCCTAATTAATACTTTGTAGTTACTTGTTTAGATTGAATGATTGTCATTGGGTATTGTTTAATTCAATGATTGAGGTATTATTCATGTTGATTATGCATGCTTGTGCTTAGCAACCTAAGGGTTGTGCATGTTTTGTGCTTAGCATCCTTAGGTTTGTGCATTTTGGTGCTTAGCAACCTAAGAATTGTGCATAATTGTGCTTAGCATCCTTAGGTTTGTGCATGTTGGTGCTAGCAATCTAATTAGCAACCTAATTAGCCCATCTAGCAGTCCTGGTACCAATACAGTTATACTGGTGCCATTCTAGTGGCACTTATACCAAATCTGTGGTACTGGTGCCATTCTAGAGGTACTGGTGCCATTTTTCACACAACAATATTTGTACTAATAGTAAAATGGTACAAATGCAAAATAAGTCGTAACGGCACAGGTAAACCCTACCGCCAATGTTGACGTCCACGCCGTCGTCGGCATCAACGCGATCGCCGGAATGCGGCACGAACTCGTCGTTGTTCTCCATGTCGAGTCCACATTGGAGTTTTCTGTATTTTCGTACCATTAAGGATGATCTTCGTTCAACGCGTCCTCCACGTCCAGAATGTCGTCAATGTCCACCATGCACACATCAACGCCATTCACCGCCGGATCGTCTGCTCAACATCGTAGTTGTATATATCCTCATCGTTAATTGTCAGTGGGACATTCAGGTCGAACCCAAATATACATGTACATTCGAATCCCCCCCCCCCTTTCACTGTAGTCGTCGTTGCTAATATAGTCGTCCATGGCGGTGGCGGCCGTCGCATGGCTGGTATCTTCCGTAGCTAGATGAGGGGTCTTGTTTGCTGACGGAGAAGCCAAAAATGGAAGGGAAAGAGTCTCGTCTGCTCCGATCCCCAAATCTCGTCCCACTAATCACGTTCCCGGATTCTCTCCATGCAATTAATTTTAAATTTAAATTATTAGAATATTATGCTTACTAAAATGCCCTTCTTGTGATCCTGGCCGCTATATGAAGAAGGGGAACAGACGACATTGAGGGGGAAAGCGATATTGACAACCCCCTTAGGAGTTTTCACCGTAGCTGCCCCTTATTTTTAAGGTGATATTCCTCTTCTGATGAATTTATTTTTCACCATGTTCCTAAATGAGTTATTTCTCTCTCTAAGGGTTTCTTTGATTTCTTTCTCAAATATGGCAGCTGATGACGAGAGAATCGGGTTGCAAAAAACATAGATCTCACGGGATAATCCACGGGGCGGCGACACGCGTGGGATGGCAGACAAGATCACCCAAAAACTGAACAATGGGGTTGCCAGTTTCCTCCATTACTTGCGGGATTTCTTAGTGTTCTATTTATTTCCTCACATCTTACTTTATTCGATGTATTTTCAGAAAGTTGCTGGTAATCTTTGGTAATTAAATCCAGTCACCGAACCTGCGATGGAGATTTGTGTGTGCTGAGGCTCCCGCAACGTTTTTTGGCTTTTCTCCACCGCACAAGCAAAGGTAGTTTATTCCTTCATTATCAGTTTCTTTCATCCGGATTGGAAGCACAAAGGAAGATTCAATTTGCAGAATTGTTTCATTGTTTTCTCTCTTAACTATGCTAATCATGACTATTATGTCACTCTGCTTGGCTATCTTCTTCCATGCAGGTCTCTCTTTCTTTTTCGTTCGTTTAAAACAGAGCCAAAGTAGGATGTGAATTGTGATAATTATGAATCACGGGGTCAACAGATAGGTACCAGCCTCCCGTTCAAATGAGAGAGGTTCTTGAAATCCGGCTCGGTTAGGGTAGACAGACCTAGTGACAAGAGCTTCGCCCCGATCAGCTTTTTTAAAAACTGAAATTTAGATGGCAGATCATAAGCTAAAATACGGGTAAACAGCCGCGCCTTCATTCTTATAAGCACACATCGTTTCACTAAAATACGACTTTAGCTGCTAAGCTTCATTGTCCGACAGATCGAGCGAGCAGGCAGGCAAAAGACAGACAGTCAATCGACTCTGGATCAGAAACGGATTAGGCTTCATTGGAATTTTAATCATAGAAGTTAAGTATTGCTGCCTTTTCTTCATTTTCGACACAACATTTGTACCTTTTTTTTTTATCTTACTGATGGCTTGTGCTTTTTTTTAGACGAAGAGACTTCAGGTCATAACCTGTTCATCGCTCTGTACTTTGCAGGTGGTTTTGTGCTTCATAATGACTTTGCTGTTTATTTCATATATGACCAATGTTAAGTGTTGACTATTCGCTGTTAGTCTTTGTGATATTTATAATATAGTAGGGAGCCTGAGAGATTGTTTTATGGGGGGTTCTTCATCGGAATTGTGAGTTGGAGGCTCAGAGTCTTGGATCTCAGGAACGTTGGCTTTCCTGTTAATTTACAACCCGTTCTGTTGATGTTGGGTTCTGTGATTATTGCGTTGGTGAGGATTCTCAAGGAGGAGCTGTTGATCTATGGTTTATTTCGGCATTGGACTTGCTGTATCTAACTATTGTTTATTGAATTATCTTGGATTACAATTACCAAAATAATTGACATAGATCACATGAAACACTCTTTAACACAGAACCTTCGGATCTAAAAAAAAGAGAGAATGTAACCTTTCTATTTTAAGATTGTATCACAAATCCACAAATCCCGGTGCGGAGCGCGGATGTGAAAAATAGTACAAATAAAGATGATAATAACAATTATTATTATATACATAAGCATACGTTTTAGCTGTAAAGAAAAAGAAGTAAAGAATATGAAATTAAAAGAAATAGAACCGGTCTGGGATAAGGCCGCCAACCATTTCAGCTATTTATATATTTTCGTCCCAACCCCCTCCATATTCCATTCTTTTTCATTCTCTGGACCGAGAGACACAGAGCGAGCAGAGGGCGCTCAGGAGAGGCGAGGGGGAAAATCATAAAGCTCAATTATTGAGCTCTAGTGATCTAAAAATCTCGTAAGTAACGCATAATTCATTTATACAATGTAGTTTATTGATTTAGAGTTTTAAAACTAGTTTTTGGTTCAGGAATTTCTTGAATCCTCGATAAGTAAATTAGGGGTTTGTAGTATCCGGAAGCCGGATTGATGTTAGATTTCATATACGAGCTTCCTGCAGCGAGGTAATTATTCCTCTTGTTATAATCCATGAATTTCGGCAATTATTTAGGTCGGGGTCCAAATCACTGAATTTAGCTCCAACTAGGGTTTGATGTGTGTTTTATCGAGAATTTGATATGGAGCCTAGAACTAACATTGACGGGGACACTATATGGGATACTAGGACAGTTCCGAATTTTGATTATGGGTTCGTTCGTGAAATTGACATTTTAGTACGAGAAGCTAAAACCGGTGTTTGAACGACCAGAACTGGTGAGAGATTAGCACGGTATACCGGGTTTATCGTACCACGATAATTATATTGATGCTTAGAATTGACCCAAGTGAACTAGAATGACATGATTAGGGGTGTATGGACTTTTGGGCTATATGATGAACCTTGGACTACTGTATGATATTATTGACTTTCCCTAATCGATATAGACCTTGTTTACGTTGATGATTGCATATATGTCGTCATTTGTGGCTTAACTGTGGATATGACTTCATGATTGTTTGATATGGTGTTTGACATGATGTGATATTATGGTTGTATTTGGATTCACAAGTGGGGGAATAAACTTCCCAGGGTAATATTATGATGTTTTAAGGAGGATGACTTGCACGAGGGCTTATCCCGAGGAAGTGCAATTATACGACTCCTAGTTTACCTATGTTGAGCCAATTGTGGCCAGGCCAAGAACATGTCAAAGTAATGAATTATGATTAAGAAAGATGAGATATGAATCATGTATAAGGATACCAAGTAAGAGTATTTTGGTTTCATGGTCAATTACATCGTAATTAGCGCTCTTCATGCTATTACTATGTTATGACATGATAGTCACACCTCTCTTGTGGTGCTGACTGAAGATTATGATATGCATGATAGTCACACATCTCATGTGGTGGTGACTGAAGATTATTCACGAGATATGAACACAACTAGAGTGGTGACGGTATGGCTTCACCTATGGTGGTATGGGGGTATGCATGTATGTATGCATGTATGATCACATCTTACGGGATGTTGGGTGTGTATGGTGGCCCGGGAGAGTTATTAGCATGGGAGTAGCCAGGAGCCTATGATTAAAACATGATAAGATGCATATGAATAAGTCAAAGTGGTTGAGTCTTTTGCCTATTGGGATGTCAGATGGCTGAGGTCAGGGGCGGAGCTAGGATTTCGAGACCGGGTGGGATGAACATAGTTAAATGTAAATATAAATTAAATAATTATTTTTAAAGTATACAACATTCTTTGAGATAATTTAAATCTCTCAAAATAGAATCTAAACTAAAAATTTTAGGTATCTTTATTTCAATATAATAACTAAATCATTAACAAGAAAGTCATCATTTAGTTTGTTTCGCAATCTGGTCTTCACTATCTTTATACCTGAAAACATGCATGATCACATATAGCTTTGGAAATTTGGAAGAGTTAGAAGAAGACAAATCAACCTTTCAACAAAATAAAATTCCTTTGACAATCATAATTCTGTTGATTCCGACATAGATAAAAAAAAAAAACAGATAGAGCTAAAAATCCAAAATGAACTGAATAGAGGTTGATTTTTTCATTTGTAGTTGGATTAAACTAACAAAAAGAATGAAAAGGAGTGGGTTTCCGTTTGCTTTGGTCCAGGACCTTGTGGAGGAGAATTAAGATAATAAAGTCCAAAAAATAGTTAAAGCAAAAATGAGGTTGCTGTGGATCAAACCTGTTTGCTTCACGCTAAATATTTAGCTTAGCCACCACTAGACTAAATGACTATTACATGATACAATGTATAGGTCGAGCACTACTTATTCAAATTTTATCTAAACATCGACCGACCACCATCGCATCCACCAAGAGGGACCGATGTCGATGTGACCTTTGTCTGGCAAAGAGACACTGCAAATGGGTCCTTGCCAAGCAGCTCCTCGAAGTTTGGCGGAGATATCACATGTAACTCATGGTCGTTGCATGCCTCTTTCACCTCAACTTCATCCTCATCCTGGACGCCAATTGCTTCTTCAACCCCCCTTCCTCAGAATTTGATTCCTCCCCCGGGAAAAGATCAAGGACTTCCTCTAATTCACTTCCGTCATCCTCCACAACTTCTTTCATCGTCCTTTCTCGCTCTTCTTCTTCTAGCACGGATTGGAGAGCAAGTCTCCATGCAATCTTTTTAATAAGATCAGCTTTCATCTCCTCACTCATGCCTGCCTCTTTAGTGGTCGGTGAGGAATGGGAAAATGTGTGGTTGGCAACAACAGGATATTCCTTATCATGATCATCATCGGAGCTCTCCGTGACAACTTCTGTCTGCTCCACAATGTCCTTGTAGACTGTGTGTAAACTTGCTCCACCCACTCTGTTTGTTTCGCTGAGCATTGAACAGCCTCCTCCATTTCATGGAGAAATGAGGGATCAGAAGGGGCAATGGCTTGGATTTGAAGATCCATCTTGGAGCATGATCTCTCCGTGTCTCGAGCAAAATGCTCCACAAGAAGCGTCAATTGTTTGTTCGGATCTGCCAGTGGAATGTAGCACGGCTCTGCAGAATGACTCGTGAAGGCCGCCATGGCTAACTCCAACTCAGATGGCCCCTCCGGTTGCGGGAGGAATTCTTCTTGAAAAGGAGATTGTTCTTGAGGTTCCCAAGGGTTTGGTTGTTCTCGTAGCAGGGGGGTTGGTACTGACATCCGAATCTATAGTCTTCTCCTCCTTGATTGCTCCAGGAAGTCTCGGGGTAATACCACCCGGATGGTGGTTGATACCCCCAATGGTTGGAGAAGCCATGATGACCCATGTTTCAGATCTGCACCCAAAAAATATAACACCCAAGTGAAAAGCAAGGGTGGAAAAGAAAAGAAAAATGCTAAAGTAACAGAATTTCACGTTTCTACAATAACCTAGGGTCCCCGGCAACGGCGCCAAAAACTTGACACGCTAAAACACAACACCAAACTGCGACCAAGTATAATCGCAGTCCGGGAATGCAGTAAAGTGGCAAGTTCTATTATCAACCCGGGGTCTAGATCTACTGCCTACTCCGTGAATATCTATTATCTAGCCAACTAAGTCAAGTGATTGTTGATTTAGGCAAAAGCAGTAAGAAAGCAGGAAATGGTTCGGTTTTCTAAGCAAAGAAAGAGTCACTCGGTTTTCTAACAACCTAATCAGATTCTATCTATCTTAGGTTGCAGCAGAAATCAAGAAAAGCTGATCAAACTTCAATTAATTCAATGAATCATGCATCATTCAATTATAATCAAACAGTATAACAATCCCAAGTCATTACAATCAAGATCCCTAACACATGGAACTAGGGTTCTTCATACCCAAGTGAGAGAGAGTTCTACTCCATAGAGAGAGAGGGGAAAACAGAATACAAAGCAGTCATACTCATTACAATGGGAAGAATCTGCTCTGGGATGATGATTTTCACTCCTATGTGGATCTCCAAGCTTCATTTGATGAAACCCAGCTCCAAAATCGCTTCTAGGATGTGTTCTTCACACTTTCTCTCTCTAGGGCTCTGTTTTTGCTCCAAAAAGTCGATTCTCTCTTCTTTGGCTCGAAGCTGCCTCGAAAACCCGATTCTGGGCGAATTACGGGCTGAATTATGGCCGTAATTCTTCCATGCCCGTATTTTGCCCAAAACACGCGTTTTGGTTAAGTTTCAGCGCACCCAAAGCTCCTCTCGCAGTGAAAATACGAGCATGGGAGGGGGGAATACGGTCGTAATTCTCCTGCCCGTATTCTTCCTCCACTCCTGTTCAATGCTTCGTTTCTCCATCGTCCGGACTCCAAATCAGTCGCCGTTTGAACCCAGTCGCTCGTAGCCCCGTCCTCTTTCTTTTCATAACAAACTTCCATGATAATTTTTCCATAATATGAGGTAGAAATCCATATTCCTCAGGTCATGCTCGTGTTTCTTCTCCCGAATTGCCAAATGATCTCCGATTGACTTGAAACTTGCGCCTATGCTTCAATTTACATACTAGGACCTGAAATGTGACAAAGGAACACAACCTAGCGTAAAATAGTCCAAGAAATCAAAAACTCTAGCCAAAATGATCAAGAAATGAGGGTGCAAACATGTGCAAATACGAC